GGGAAAGAGCAAAAACACTTCATTTTAACAACATAAAAACATAGAACCACTCCTTGGTTTTTTATTAACTCACTGAACGGAATCTAGAAGCTAGTTAGCTAAGAAAAAGGCTGCATGTAGTTATTTTATACAAAAATCTACTGTAACCAGATGAAAAAAATATATTATATTTCATTCAGTCTAATGAAGAGCAAACAATAGGACAAAAGGCAGTAAAAATCTAAAAAGAAATGGGTAATAGGACATTCTGAAATAATGGAACTTCACAACACTTCCACCTGGTGGTGGTGTGAGTGTAAGAGTGAAGTTGTGTTTGTACCTGTGTGATGTCTGGAGGTAACTCAGTGGGTCTCCTGTCACGCTGCTGCTCAGAGCCTGGGTGTTTGTAGCCAGGCTGTTTCCTCTGGCAGGGGGACAGGGCCCTGGGCCCCGGCTGCTGCTGAGGAGGGGCCGGAGTCATCTGCAACATCACCACACCACCACCAGGCGGTGGATGCAGCAGTCCTGAACACACACAGTCCATTTGTTTGTTTCTTTTCTTTCAACTCAGTGGTTCTCAATTTTTTTCTGTTATGCCCCCCCTTAAGGACAGAAATGTTTTCACCCCCTCCTGCCAACCCACACCTCCACGATTGAAATACTCTTGAGAACCTGATAACATGTAGATTTTTATCTGAACAAACCACTGTATGAGTTGCTGCCACCTAGTGATTGGAGGCTTGTTATCATTCAAGCATTACAGCAGTGGTACACTTATGTCCTCACTTCACCTCACTATTTGAGAAGTACTTTACAACCCACTACATTAGAGTACTGTTAATCAGTACTGGTGCTTCTCTCTGTCTGATGGTTAACTCCATGTGGAGTTCCTCAGGGCTCCTTTCTTGGTTCTATTTTCTTTATCAATTCCATGCGTTTTCAAGCTCAGAATATAAAGTTTTACAACATCTGATATCATATCAGTACTGACGCCACAAAACTCCTTATTTGAGTGTCACCACAGGGTGTTACCTGTGTACTGCTGAGCCGAGTGCTGCTGCTGCTGCAACTGCTGCTGTTGTGAGAAACAGGGAGATGAGGTCTGAGAAAACTGGAGCTGCTCCATCATCGGGGTAGGAAGGAAACTCAGTGTGGAGCTGAAAACAGAAGCAGCGAGAAAACAGACACACGGAGAGATTGTTTGTTTACAAACCGCAGTCTCCAACAACAGCGACTGTTATTTTTCAATCTGGTTGATTTCTAACAATGATAGAAGACGATCAGTCATGTTAGCATCATTAATCACTGTCTATAATAAACATCTTTGAGGTCCCGATGCTGCGGCTCAGGTACTGAATGTAAAATA